ATTGTAGGCTAGACGATTTGTAGTTGTGTCCTCTTTTGGAAGGCCAAACAAAGTAGTTTCGCTTTCACAACGAAACACACAGCATCTCCACGACATGGCGGCGTCGGCAACAATACTACTGCAAGAATAAAAGTTACGCCTTCTTTCTTTGCATGAACATTTGGGTGGTGTTATGCAAATCTTCCCACGCAGTGACGTAGACATGTGGGGCCGTGTTTACACGAGGCGTTTTAGGAGTGCGTGGACGAGTCTTAACTTTTATAAAGAATATCTCTTTGGGTTTGAGACTTTAGTCTTTGCAACTTTAGGGATCTTATCTATTCACGAACAGCTTGTAACACTCCAAAGAGAAAGGAAAACTTGAAATCGCATCATATGACCCCTTTAATATTTTGGTCATACCGCTCACAAGTGGCATATTGCAAAAAATAATTTTCTTAATCAGTATTAATGTCTTGTTTTCCAGTTAACATTTCTCAACATACTTAAAACATTAAACATTTACTTGAAATATTTTCAGTGTTATTTTCAGAGACCTCTAAAAGATTTATGCTCAAATTGAGGAAACAAATCCTTCCTATTTTTCTTACTAAATTTTCTTATATTTCTCTGAAAATAAGATTTTTTCCCCCCTTCTCAATAAGTGTCTTATTTCAAGGATGTTAAGATATTGTGGAAAACACACTAACCTTGCAGCAAGACCAAACTGTTGTGTTTCAGATTTCCTTCACACACCTAGATTGAGAATAACCAGAGAATCTGGAGCAGAAAGTCATCCTTGGACACTGTGTGGATGAAAACTTCAGTTGCCATAGAGATTGCACATCCGCCTTCTCAAATTCACAAGGACTGTGACCAGTCAGTGTGGGAAGAAGACTTATAGGTTTCTAAATCGGTGAAATGGCACTATACATCAGTTCCATCTTGTATTGATCAAGCTCTCTGCATCATTTCATCGGCGACTTTTGTCCTGCACATCACACGCTTTCATTGATCACCCCCTATCACATTTGACCAAATCATGAACCAATATCAGCCAGCCCGATGAATCGATGTGCTTCCTGAGGCATGATGGTTATGAATCGTTTGTTACTTGGCAACTAGATCCCACACACACAGGTCAAAATACAAATACTTAAAGCGTGCCGCTTCCCAGATGGCTCTGCTCATCTGCGGAGGGTTGTGTGACAGTGGTGTGGGCTTCACCGTGATACTGTACTTGCAGATACACAATGAGTAAACCAGGCCCCTGGACTTGTTCAGCTTGATATGCTACATGTCATATTGTCACGGCTCCTGACGCTCCGAGGCATGATGGATCCCAGCATTGGCTTTCGCATGTGTGTATCCCAGATATAAGCCACTTTTTAAATCGTCAGGCACAGTAAACAAATGGTTTATTGAGGTTAAAAAAAATCAAATCATTTTGTCTCCACAAGTTTGGTGACTCTGCTGTTTGATAGTAAGAGGAGCTGACATAGACAAAGCCTCGCGCCACTTGACGAGTTCTGCATCGTCCAGGGTTGCGTACAGGTGACTGAATTGGCGACTGAGTTTGAACAAGGGTGGCATGAGAGCCTTGCATTGGGTTTCCACGGGTCCTTAAAAAGGCATAGGACCAAGAAATGTTCTTCCAGTCAAAACGCTCGGTCCGAGCGTTTTAATTGGCTTTCCGCATATGCAGTTTTAAACAAATTGGTACATTTCTTGAAATAAATATATTTGTATAAAAAAAACAGTGCAAAGTACAGTTTCATGGTCTGTAAGAACTCTATATGGCTGGTGATTTTTCTCAGTTCACTCACTGTTGGCAGAAAGTAAGCAGGTCTTGGTCAGATATACTTCATTATTTTATTTCTGTAAAAGTGTGCTCCATCAGCTCTTTAACTAGTCCTGTGCCCACACCCAATTACCACTAAATTTCCTTGGTCTGCCAATATTATTTTCCAGCTTCCCCATGTCGTTCCTGTCTGCATTGATTTCCATAACACAGCTAATTGGTTGCTGCTGTGTGCTTCCTGTCTTTACCACATCACATACTCTGCTGATACTGACATAATTGGTCAACTGAGCCACATTTATGAAAGTTTCGTGATGCGTGAAATCTTCACCACACATTAAAGGGTTAAGAGAGGTGTCGTGAATTGAAGGTAATAGTTTGGCTAACATATTCCCCCGTGTGCATCTAATGGCTGACAGGAAGGCAGGCAGGTGAACTATAGCGATTTAGCGGTTGCATTGTAATGTGCTTCAGCCTCCCCTGGCTTTGATACACATTCAGACAGATCAAGTTGCATAATGAATATTTTACACATGCCTGCACTGCATGCATGTATGAAAGATCCAGCCATGCACTGGTCGAAATAGTTTTTTGCCTGCACCAGCACTCTGCTCTTTTATTCTCTTGATAATAGTCAACAGCTTGAAGTCAGAGTGCACACCTCATAATGCGCACTAGCCAATATGGTGGCATCAGCTGCAAGCTGTGCAAATAAACCTCCTGTTCTTGCTCTCAATCTTCTGTCTTATTATCTATCTATAGTTTCAATTTAGTGAGCTCTACTGACGTATCAAGAATTGTACATATGCAACAGTGAGCACTCATTTTTATTTTTGCTATTAATTTTCTCCATAGGCATGAAGAACAGAGAAACACAGAATAAAATAATGTAAATAAAAAAGAATCAGATAAATAGGCCTACACTAAATATATAAAATACTTAATAACTATCAAATTAAGATGACAAAACGAAAAACTGTTAACTCTTAGACCCGCAACAAATAACACCATCATGCCTTCACAAAAATCCCATCAATCTGCAGTTCCGGACTTTTCATCAGCCGGTCATTTGTTTCTATTCACAGTGTGTTTTTGCAGCGTTGAGCAACATAGCCAATCACAGAGCTATCTGTCAATTTCATGAACGCAGTGGCCAATCAGAGGTGGTTAAGTTACAATCCACTCACCACTCAAAACGCTGGTGTTCTGTTCAGTGCTGCTGAGTTCTACACGTTCACAAATTCTCTCATTACAACAAAGAAAGTGTAGACATGATGTACATAAGAGATTAGTTGTGCAGTGTAATGCTTCTTTTTTAACTCTAAGTTAACTTTGTGAGAGCACGATGAACTACAGTAAGATGAGTGACAGCTTTCCAGTGATGATAATGGGAGCGCTCTTTGCTCTTTGCGTACTTTATAGGCTATAATCCATTCAGAAATTGAATAAATTCACTCACAGATTCACTCTTTGATTAATTCTCTGATAACCATTTATCCAATATTGCCACTTCCCGTTGTGTTGCGTATACTACATCAGTTAACTAAGTGAAGGTGAAACAGGTGCTTGCTCAGTGAAATATGTCTGTAGGTATGTTGCACGTGTCAACACGTGCCCATGAGTTAACAAATATGTATAGCTTTTTTTTTACTTTTACCATGCAGAATACTTCAAAAAAAAAACATTTAAAAATGTTTAACTGATAGTATTAATTGGTCAAAGTTCTTACTTTCGGTTAACGGTTAAACGGTCAACATGAGCATCCCTAAAATAAAAACATTCAAGCCTTGAACCAAACCATATAACTGAAAGGTGATTCATAATCAAAGTACTCCGCAAAAGACAACGGTACAATGCTGTGCATTTAACATATTTTATATAATTGATCAAAAAATGCCAGTATAGTATGAAAGAACCGAAAGATCGGTTTTCAAAGCAATGTTAAAAGCACATATTTAAAAGACTAATGAGGAGTTGTGATGCAGGTTTAGTTATTCTAAATTGTGCCTATGTTTTTATGTGATTTGTGTTGTTATTTGTGACTGTGTTTGTTTTTATGTAATTTTATTGTGATATTGTGAAGCACTTTGGGCAACCTGGTGTTGTATTAAACTGTGCTATATAAACAAACAAAGAGCTGACTAGAAATAATTTATTATAAGTAAAAAAATACCATATATTGGAAGTTTATTGCAAAATATACGCATTGAAAGTGACTTTTGCATTTGCAGTGCTTTATGGGAGTGGCTGCTCTTTTGCTGTGATTTTAGTTTCATTGACGTCTCTGATTGATGGATGTGTCTTCAGGGTTTTGAGTATTGTAAGTTTTGCAAATTAAACTTTTATTGTTGTTGTTGAAATTGCATTTTTACAGAAGAATATGTCATTACATAACAATGGATCTCATAGTAGTGCGTTCTTGAAAGATTTATATATATATTTTTTTTTATAAATTAATACTTTTATTCAGCAAGGATGCATTAAAATTATCAAAAATGGCGAAAAGGCTTTTATATTGTTACTTACATTTTTTTTTAATGCTGTACTTTTGAACTTTATATTCAGCAAATAATCCTGAAAACAAATGTATCAGGGTTTCCACAAAAATATAAAATATGAAGCAGCACAACTGTTTTCAACACTGATAATAATTAAAAAATGTTTCTGGAGCAGCAAATCAGCATAGTAGAATAATTTCTGAAGGATCATGTGACACTGAAGACTGGAGTAATGATGCTGAAAATTCAGCTTTGCATCACAGGAATAAATTACACTTTAAAATATATTCAAATACAAAACAGCTACTTCAAGTTGTAAAAAGATTTCACAATATTACTGTTTTATTATATTTTTGCTCAAATAAATGCTGCCTATAGTGAGCATAAGAGACTTCTTACAAAAACACACAAATCTTACCGACCCCAAACCTTTAAACAGTAGTTTACATTATTGCTAAACGTGTGGAGAAAATTAATGGGATTTTTACTTCAGAAGTAAACCTTCTATCGCAAAGCATTTGCAGATTAGCTGTGTGCAATGAAAATAGTGCACAAATAAGAAATATAAAGTGGAGCATTAGTACAAATATTAAAGAAATATCAGTGCAGGGCAAACCCTCCCACACTCCCTCTCTCTCTTTCTCGACCACATTCTGTGTTTCTGTGCTCTCTCTGTCAGCTGTTTGCTCCTCCCACCCTCTCGTACTCGTTCACTCACGCTCTGCCTCTTTGTGTCTTGCGCTATGAATGCACTTGTAAGTTTAATCTCCGCTAAGGAGGAGGAGGAGCAGGAGGAGCACCAGTGCATGTGAGGTATCTCAGTAGCTGACAGATACAGTGCTCACAGGAGGAGACAAGAGAAGACATCTTATCCATTGCATCAGTTTGTTACTTTATGTTTGAAGTCTGTTTTGTGTGCTGGCACTCCCAAGTGATCTGAAGCACTGAGCTGAGATTACAAAGAAACCAGCTAGTGTGTTTGGATATGCAGCGTATTTGATCGGGGTTGAAACGAGGACTTGAACACAGAGAAAAAAAACGCTGAACCTGAAAAAGGAAGGTAAGACCTTTCTATGGACAGTTACTCTTACATGAGACTATATGTGAGATGGGAGCCATGCAGGTGGTCTTGAGTAGCAGGCTACGTGATAATCGAGCTGTGAACTTCACGTGCCGGTCGGGGAAGCAATGAAATGAGATTCACGGGCATCGCTGAAGACCGCCTTATAAGCTCTTTGCCAGTCTAGTTGAGAGAGTCAAGCTTTGGTTGGATCAGCCCTCCTGATATTCTCCGGCTGAACCAAGCAGGAGTCCGGCACACTGCACAGTCCAGTAGGACCGAGGAACTTTTAAATTCGCTCTCCGGAGGATCTGGACCTGGCTGACTTCTCTTTGTTTCTTGGAGACGCTTGGCACTCTTTCATTGAGTTTTCTCGGTGATAACCGTGCATCCTCTGAGACAGGATGCAGGTGTCGTTTGTTTGCACAGACCACCGGTCCATGAGCCGTAGCACAGATGACAGGCTCAATCGACAGAACGCTAACAGTCCGAACACTGGTACCCGAAGCAAGTTCAAAGCCGTGGCCATGGTTGCCAGGAGCCTTGGGCAGCTTTCCGTCCAGAGCATTCCTTCTTCGAGTGAACAGAGCATAAGAACTGGCATGAAGTATAGGTAGGAAAGCATATATTGAAAGAAGAGTTTATTTTGTGACTGTAAAGCCTGTAGGATAAGATCCAATAATGTGAAATATTTTACTTGCAGTAAATGTGTGTGATTATGTGTAATGATACAATTAGATATTTTTTGTATACGATTAAAGAAAAAATATTTTTTACCTTAAAAAATTATGAATATCCTATCAGGTTAAGTAGCGTAATAATCAGCATATGCTGGTGCATATATATATTTCTACTATTTCAACAAAGTGCTTTGATTGCATATGATGAAATCAGCCCCGTCAATTTGACCATTACTCTTCAAATCATTCTGCAAATTGCAGCTTTAACTGTTGAAGAATAATGACTACTCTTTTTAACCCAATTGAGCCTCTGGCAAACTAGATTCATATTCCTGCATTGCTAGCTTTTTATGTAGACTTACTGTTATTATGCACAACTGCTGACATATTTGTCTCAGAATCGTTTTAGTAGTTCATAATATATAATAGTATTATATAATTTCATTATGTAATTTGATGCCTTTTTTTACAATTCCATTAAGAGTTCATTCTTCTGTTTCAAGAAATGCAATGAAAATTGAAATAAAACATAACATTTTCTGCATCTGTTAACAACAAACCTGCAAGTTATGTTAATTTACATAATGACGGCTAGAAACACTTTCAGCCGTCATGTTCGTTTGCAAAAAAAAATAAAAAATCCTAATAACAACTCTTAATGGAGGCATGTGATCTTTCCTTCCTATTTGAAATCAGGATTGGAAAAATGATTTTGTTGTCAGAGGCTCCAATTTATGTCAAGCTTAATATTCGCTTCTGTAAAGCGAGAGAGTTAGCTAGACCTTGTTAATTTCATTTATTCATTTATGCGTTCATTATGAGTTACTTGCAATGTCACTGTCTTGAAGCTTCATCTTCCTGTTTTAAAGGGGTCCTATTATGCTCTTTTACAAAGTCTTGATTTTGTTTTGGGGGTGTACTAGAACATGCTTGGTGGTTCGAAAAACACATTATTTTTCACATAATTTACATTATTAAAATACCTTTCTCCCCATCCTGGCACAAACGGCTCGATTAGTTCCGGCTTTGATGAAGGTCCGCCTTCCGAAAAACAAAATGTGTTGTGATTGGTTAGCTGTCCCAGTGCGTTGTGATTGGCGAAAAGCTTAGACAGTGTTTCAGTACTGCCCGTTTATACTGGAGAGCGGCCATGTAAGATGTGTTTCTTGGAGGTTATAGTACATTGAAGAATGATCATATGACTTTTTGCATACGCCATGTGACATGTAAATGCGAAAAAGCCGTTTTCCATTGTAGTTTTGCTAATTATTCCTTTTTCGCATTGCCTGAAAAACCACCTCATGTGAGCATAAAAACTTCTTTGCGATATATGGCCATTTTTGCGAAATTGACGCGTTTCCATTAGGTGTATTTTCAGTTCGCAATTTCAATTTGCGCAGTTTGAAGGGTAATGGAAACGTGCCTATTGATGTACCATATTAAGTCCCTAGACCTGTTAGAAGCCTTTGCATTCAAGGTTCATGAATCTGAAACTTTAGTTCTTTAAGTTACATCACAGACCACTTTTAATGCAATATAATGAACATGCTATGAAGAGAAAAACTTCTGGCTGCTACACTCTTAAAAATAAATGTACTTTATTGGCATTAGTGGTTTGATCCATAGAACCTTTCTATTGCATGAAATGTTCTTTTTAGTGTTAATAGACAAGCAACTGAAAGCAATCAGCTGATTCCAATTAATCACAAGTATCAATCAATTATCACAAGTGTCACTGCAAGAGAGTCTGATAATTAACAAACATGGCACAAACCATGTAAAATATACAATCACAACAAATAAAGTGTCACAAAAAAAGAGGGGGAAATATATATATATATTATAAAGCAGTTACAAAAACAATTACAAAAAAACAAGAAAGTTCTAGTTCTTCATTCATGCCATCAGGGAATAAAGATTTAAGTTGAAAGATCCAAAAGCCCTCCCCAACAATTTCTTGTCTCTATCTCCACCTCTTCTATGAGGTAAAATCCTCTCGATGCCCAGGAATTTCATGTCAGACAAAGAATGTTTAGCAAAGTTAAAAAGAACAACATTTATTTGAAATAGAAATCCTTTGTACCATTATAAATGTCTTTACTGTCACTTTTGATCAATTTAATGCATCCTTGATTAAATAAGTATAAAAAAAAAAATAATAAAAATAAAAAATTTTGCTGCCCCAATGAGAGATATAACACTGCATAGTAAGTGCTAAGGTCTTGAAAATAAAGGTTATTTATGGTTGCATGAAGATTCTTTAACATCCATGGAACTTTTCGGTTGAACAGAATGTTCTTTAAAGTGGAAAGAGGTTCTTTAGTTTATTAAAACATTCTTCACTCTAAAAAAATTACTCTTTTTAGAATTGTTCACTGAAATGTACTTTGGGAAACCAAAAATGGTTCTTCTATGGCATTTGTGTGAAACCCCACTTTTGGAACCTTTACTTTTAAAGGTAAAGAACAACATGTGAAGGATGTTCATGCCACATTTCCCCATTCCTGGCAAAATAAATGTGTGTTTCAGTATGATTAGATTTTACTCTGTACTCTCTAAGGGATAAAAGTCCTTTCTAGTTCTGTTTTCCGGGATTCACTCTGACAGACCGGCACTTTTGTCTCACCTAATTTTCTTTAGTCAGTTCCAATCACAATCTCATTCTGCCCTGATGAATCGAAGCAGACAGAGAGAGAACTGGAGGGGGGCTTTCAATTAACCAGCATCTTTCCCAGTCCAGCTCGTGCAGTATTACTCTGCTCACTCTCCACAGTAGGACAGACCAGACATTGTACCGGTGGGTGTAGAATTGGGAATGCTGCCATATCGTAGATTGATGTCGCTTGACATCACTGCCTTATCTTATCCTCACTCTCTGTGGAGATGCTTCAGTTTAGCTGTGCGGACAAATTAAATGACTCCGGTCAAGATTCAATTAATGATTTGAGTAAAACAGGCTTATAAATTTGTGGAGGAGATCCTATTAAGCTAGGCGATGCAAAATGGTCTGCAAACCTCTTTATTTATGTCTGTAAATGCAAATGGAAAACTAAGTCAACATGAAATGTGTTTGCAAGTAAAACAGGATATACAACTTGGTGACATCATCTGAAAAAGAGGTGAAGCAAAGTTTATCTTGATTAAATATTGCAAAAACAATATCTTTTATCCTTGGAATAACGTGAACAGATGAATCATGCTTTTGAAAAGACCAGAAGGCTCTGTGACCATTAGATTTATTTTAAATTGATTTGAGCTGACTGGCTGCAGGTTGATTTCAAAGATTTCATTGATTTAAAATTTAAGGTTTTTGGTTAGCACAACATAATGCACAACATAAAGGATATGCATTTCCAAGAACAAAGATTTTATTATAAAATGTTTCCCTGGAAACATTCTCCAGTGTTTATAAAATGTCTTTTGAAGTTCTGAACTCAAAGTGTTGAGAGATATAAGGCAGCGCAGTAAGTGTTAAGGCGTTAAAGAGTAGGCGTGTTGAGAGATATTATTGCACTTCTGGATCTCACTATAACTGATACTACCTTCAGTTCAGACTCACTCCCACATGAAATAATGCCTGATGAATGTTTGTGAGAAACAAACAGCAGCCTTTGCTTCTACAAAGCCACACAATAGCACTATAAACGCTCTGTCTCACATGTGCACTTCTATTTAAGGCTTGAGGGAGAGAGTATGTGTAATCCTTCACTCTGATAAGGTTTTTTTTTCAAGTTCTGTACTGAGGATGGATGGATGGATGGCTGTATGTTCAGCTCTCTGTGCAGTGCTGATAGCTTTTAATTAAGGCTTGCATGTTTGCGCTTTAATAACGTGTAGATTCTCACTGACAGCAGAATGCCTGTTTTCATCACACTCTAGGAACAGATTTATTCATTCCAGCTGGGCCCTACCATAAATAAACCCTTTTATTCATCTCCATGCTAATTTGTGTTATGTTGATGGGGTGGACTGCATCTGTTTGCATAGAAATGGTTTGAAACCTTCAGTTGTTTACTTTTTGTAAAGCAACACTCCCATTCAGAGAGAAAAATCTGAATCATTTGAGTGTCAGAGAGGAAATATCCATTCATTCGATTGTAGAGCAAAATGAAGTCAAAATGGGCTCGAATTACTTTTTTAATGCACCTTATTGAGCTAAATTCATTGGTGCACAAAGGAAAATGTTTGTTTTCATAATCTTTCATCAAAACAGAAGTTGCTGTGCCTGAAATGATTTTCATTTTAGCTGACGTCGCCAGTGGTGCTTAAGTTTCAGCCAGAAGGTTTCAGCAGTGTTGCAGACAGATACGAATCAATACTTCATAATACAGAAGTAAAATGGGCTGCAAACAGTTTCATATTGGTTTTAGATTACCTGTCTTTTGAGTGACTCAGATTAACTGTTAGAAATTAGATAGACAGAATTTTGTTTATAAAACCTTCTATGGGATCATAATGATGTTAGTTCAAAAGTTTGGGATCAGTACAATATTTATTTATTTTTGATTTATTTATTAATTTATGCATTAAATTTATCAAAATTAAAAGCGTTTATAATGTTAAGAAATATTTCAGTTTTGAATGTGCTGTTCTTTTGAACATTTTATTCATCAAAGAATCCGACAAAAATGTTAAGCAGTGCAATTTTATTAAGTAAATGATTTCTGAAGGATCATGTGACACTGAAGACTGGAGTAATGATGCTGAAAATTCAGCTTTGCATCACAGGAAGAAATTACATTTTAATTATTTATTAAAATTTATTTGAAATTGTAGCAATATTTCACAATATTACTGTTTATTGTATTTTGATCAAATAAATGCAGCCTTGGTGAGCAGAAGGGACTTCATTCAAAAACATAAAAAAAATCTTACCAACCCAAAACTTTTGAACATTGTGAACTTTTGAATTTTTTATGTTTTTAATAATGTC